GTGTTCACGCGCAATGGTCTGGCTAAAATGTTGCAAGAGCCCCCGTTTGCCTACCCTCTCGTGGTCCTGGATGGGCAGGGGTGTGGGGACTTGGCCAATCTCCCTATTGCCACTGCCAATGTCATGGCTCATAACGATCATGGACGCAATTGGTGCATGGATCATTCTCACAAGGCACGTGGGAGCGGCGTCTGGCACAATCATTGCGCCCACGTGCGGGTCTGTCAAATGAGTGGATGGTTACGTCGCCAGACCCATGTCCTTCCCACCCTGTCGCAAGTCAACGCCCAACGCGTGTTGTGGCAAAAACGGTGTGATCGGTTATTAGACTATCTGCTATGTAACTATTGTACCGAGGCCAAAGATCAGGCGTTTGCCAACGGTCAAGGATTGGATTGGATCCCGGATAATTGCAGTGATTGTCGTAGCGTCTTACATGTCTTTGAACAAACCGTGACCCATCGGGAATGCGATGTACCCCTGATGTACGCCGATGATGAACCGCATACCATGTGGGCTTGGACGCCCATCCCTCATCATAAACACCCTCATCATAAACACTGACTTTTTTTCATTTTTTTCAGACCATGCTCATTTACACAGGCGGTGCTAAAAGCGTGGACACGCATGTGGAACGATTATGTCACTTGTATGGTCATACGTGTGTGGTCTTTATCCCACCCTGTCACCCTCGATCCAAGTCCCTCGCACCCTTGACCCAGTCCCAGTTGGATGCGGCCACCCCTACCGTCACCCAGGTGGCGTTTCGATTGGGTCGACAAATTCATCATCCTATCAGCCTCCAGTATATTCAACGCAATTATTACGTGATCCAACCTGCGTCCCTCGTCCTCGCTTTGGGCCATTTTGATGAATATGGCAAGCATCTGTTGGGTGGCACAGGATGGGGTGTGGTCATGGCCCAACTTTTAGGCAAACCCCTCTATGTGTTTGATGTGGATAAAGAACAATGGTGTTGGTGGAATCCCACCTCCCAAGAGTATCAAGACTGTGACGGCATGACGGAGGAACAAATCGCCTTACCCACCCTCCAAGACAAGACCGCCATTATCGGCACCCGAGAAGAAGACTCAGTTCTCTATCCCACCCTGGAAGCTTTATTCAAACGTCAATGAACACAAAAACACTTGTTTTAATCTCAATGTATATCAATGACAATAAAATTCATAGCGGACATGACATTATGAATCAAATCTAGTCTCTGCATGACTTTGTCCAGCGTATTGTAGGCACGCTTTCTCCTGCCAATCATCACGGGGTACTGACCCACGGTACAATTCTGAAGCTGCTTCTTGAACCGGTCAATGATGAACGCGATCCCCTCATTCATCACCTTGTCCAGATTGGGAGGGACCCGTGCCATCTCCACCATCATGCCAATCTACAAAAACCAGACAAAAAGTTTTTTCAGGGTCAAGGTCATGAAAAAAGAATACCACTTCAAAAAAATCACTCACCGACAATCGGTGATCGAACATACGGTGGCAATGATGGCAGCCATTTTTTCGAGGGGTGCGCAACCGCAACACCACTTGATTCCACCACCGACCTTCGCCCAGGTGTTGGGGAAACCCTGTCATGTCGCATTTGGGTAATCCCTTGAACTCTTGGACCACCTTCTTACGTTTGTCCATCGTATAGAAACAATGGACCCAAAACATAATCTTGATCTGGATTTCCAGAGGTAACACGCGACCAAACGGTTTGTTCCTGGGGTCGACTAACCCTCGGCAGTCCATGTTGACAGTGCTCAGCATGAAATGGACCTCTCCGCTCTGGTCTACCTTATTCATGGGTTCCTTGAGCCAATCACCCACTCGCGCCAGGACTTGGGGTCCCACCCAAAAAAGTGTACCCATGGGGGGTACCCCCTAGAATCTCCTCTCGTGGTCAAACTCCCCCACGTGATGTCTCTCCACCAATCAGCGCCTCTCATCAAGTCTGTAAATCCCGTTGCGCGCTCTGTGTGAGCTCATTCCAGTTTGATCCATCAAGTTGTTCAACATGGTGAGCTCACTCCAGTCTATCGTACTGTTCTCAGTGCCGATCGCGATGTTGATTGAGATGCTGAAGATTCTCCACCACCTACCCATGGGCCATGAGTTGTTTCGTGCGCTGTTTAGACGCTGCACCCATGAAGAGTTGCGGGATTGGGCCAAAACGTTCCCGTGGGACCACCCCATTGCCAGAAAACTGGATCATGAGGTCCATCGCCGCCGTATGGCTGGTGAGTGTCATCGCTTTTTATTTTTGGGTGTGGGACCCTTTTTTCCTTATACCTTTTTGATTTTTTCACAGAGGTATTCAAGGGGTTCGAGTTTCTACGCACCGTGCTGTGGCCTGTTCATCTATGTCTTTGCCCTCGACGTGCCCGACTCAATTGGGCCGCACGGTTCTGGGTTCCAAATTGTTCGTGTTAATTTTTTTTATTCGTTAGATTCATGGGAGTACATAGAAAACCAACCTGTCTGCCATATCTATCAATGGCTCGCTCATCCCACTCATGACGGGGTCTGTAATCACTGCGAGAGAATGATGGATGGCTTAAGACTGGATGATCTGATTGCTGGCAACTGGGAGGGGTCCCTCACCGAAGATGAAATTGTGCACTATGTACAAGATGGGGACCCTAACCAACGGGACTGGGACGACTTTTCCTTGCGAATGACCTTTCGCATTAATACGTTTCTCCGTAGGCAGGGTGATGTGGGTGAACCGGATTTGGCGGCCCTAGGCTTTTTAGACGATTGATTTCAGTTCATTTTTTTCACAGGCACCCATTGCCTGTTACGTCATCATTTGCAATGGATTCCGAGAGTGTCCCCTTTAAACTCTCCTTTTTTTCGCATCCTGATACGTCCACTTTCTACCTCTTTGTAGGTTTTCATTATACGTTAAACCAGTATGGAGATTGGGTACGTCCCGTTCAATTACGATGTCATTATAGCACGGTCAAATGTATAATCCAACTTCATGAAATATTTCAGATGTGATTGAGGTCCTTGACCAATGGGGGTGGATCCTTCCCTTGCAACACCGATGCCATATTCATTGTGTTCAACAACTCGTTCAATTTTGTAATGGTCTTGAATTTTAGAGACACGTACCCACATTGGCAACAGCTGCTGGTTCCAAGACCGCATTGCTTTCTTACTCATGAAGACAGAGTATTATTATTAATTTTTTTCGCAGATTCGTATGCTATTCTCAGCACCCACAGGGTTCATGGCACTTCCGCGGCCTGGTGTTTTTGTGGTAGTATCGTACAATGGTACACTGGAACAGGGGTTTCCCTTCCATATCCGAATCCACTCAAATTACTGTGTTGTCGTTGCTTTTTGAATTTTCGTCGCGTGCAAGATTTACATGTGCCCTGTTATTGGTGTGAGATGTTGCAAGGCATGGGTTATCCACCCCGTTTCTGAAAAACCTGTTGTTTTTTTTGTTTCAGATTCTCGTTTTGTCATACGAGCTATTTATCTCCCTTCCCTTTTTCAGCCACTGCCCAGATAATAGAGAATCACACCAGATATTACCATGCTTATCTGATGAAGCAGTTGTATTTTGTGTGCAAACGCTGTTGGACGTATTCACGTCACGTGAACACCCTCCATGAACCCTGTTGGGGATGTCATATTTTAGAAAGCACAGGATGGGAATTCTGAACACCCGGCAGGGGGAGGTCTGCATGGTGGCGCCACCCTTGCTGGATGTTCAGTCTCCATTTTATTTTTATTAGATTCCCATTGGATAATACAAGATATCATGATTTTCCGAAGCTGGCCCCTCCCTCATAAACTCTGTATTGTCAATCATCAAGGATGGTCCAGCTTACTCCATTTGTTCAAACTCAAACGTTGATTTTTTTTCATTAGTATGTCATTGGTTCCTGGATACTCAAACTAAGATATTGATTTTTTATTAGAATGTCATTGGATCCTAGACCATTTTGCTTATAATCAAGACTGGATTTTAATAGAATATTATAGTAAACAATCATTTCAAGGGCGTGACACCACCAGGGCGTCACACACGTCCCGTTTGTAATGAAGGTCTGTTTTTTTTTCAGTCAATCATTGGACCATAAACCACCGTCTTGTGCGTGCCAATGGTCGACTGTATCTCATCCAGTTTGCTTCTTGGATCTAACCACCCCTCCATTTAATTTGTTTCAGTCACTTTGGCCACCATCAAATTGCCTTTCATCAAACCATGGTCATACACAGGTTACAACCATTATATCAAATGGCCTCATCCAACGCTCATGACTTCTTCCTCTAAGAAGCAAATAGCTTATGTTCATTCTATCTATTAATGTAAAAAAATGGGCGTGACGTCATTAGGGCGTCACACACGTCCCGCTTGTACCCAGGGCTTTACGCGGTTATTAAAACTATGCCAAGAATGTGGATTCAACTCTTGTGTGCGTGTGTTCTTTATTCTATGGGGTCACGTGTCAAACCATGCCCATATATGGGCATTTGTGACGTCAATAAGTCACATGGGCGAAATGCGCGATTCTGATTGGTCGAGAGAAATTTTGCTGCGCTCTGATTGGTTAGGACCTCAATGTAGCCATGTTGACTACTATCCATTGTGTGAACAGAAATAGACATCTCACAGCTCTGTAGTAACCCGGTTACTGTCAAATGTACCTAACACAGCCGTTCTGCATCCCTGTCCTAGTTCTTCTGCATTACTTTGTAGCCCTGTCTTAACCCTGTTATGGTAACTGGATATTTTCACAGCCACGTAACAGGCTTGTTACACTTAACTATGTACACTTTTACAGCCCTGTCACTGCTCCACTTGTTTTAAGTCAAGTAAGTTGCAGCTATGTCACAGCCCTGTTACAGCCAGTTTACAGCCCTGAAATAACGCAAACAGGGCTGGAAACAGGATGTTACAGGGCTCTCACATGGTTTTTGCAGGGTAGAATTTTTTCTAAGGGCAGTCGAACCTTTTTTTAGGAAAGCAGCATGTCAGTTGTACAAGATAATTTCCAGATTTTTGTCGCTCTGCCGACTGATGATGTTTTTACCGTCAAAGGACTATCGCGCGAAATGTTCGTGTGTGAGCTTAAATCAAGGATAGAACTTAAAGCGGGTGTTCCAGGGGGCATTTTTAGCTTATTCTTCATGAATGTTGAACTGTTAGACAAGGAGACTCTGAAAACGTATAACCTCAAACATGGCTGCATTGTCAGAGTAAAAATAGAACAGAACTGGATCGGTCTGTTTGAAGCTTGCTGGCGCGGGGATATCTACGATGTTTTTGAAAATGGAGTTCAGTTCTTGGACGAGAAGAAATTTGACGGATATTACATTTCTCTTTGGAATAAGTTGGTGATCCGGCGCGCAACGCTCTCGTTATTTATTGCTTGCCATCGTGGTTACCTCGGACTAATACTTGAACTTATTAACCGAGGAGCCACTGATATCAACAGTAAAACCATATTTGGACGGAGCGCACTGCATGTGGCGGCCTATCAAGGTTTTGTGGCCTGTGTATCGTTGTTGCTTAGTGAAGGCGCTGTTTGTAATCAAATTGACATTCAAGGTAAAACACCTCTTGCATTAGCCAACGAAAACGGTCATGTTTACTGTGAGAGAAGACTTTGGCTTTATCAGTGGAGTGTACAAACATTTAGACAACCGTCGTCAAGGTGGAGTAAGGAATCAAGCGAATCAAGCGAAAGTGGAGAAAGGTAAGCTGGGTACCCACGACTTCATTCATATGATACTCGTGGGATATGGTAAGCAAACGACCTCCTGAATCATAGTTTCTTCAAACCATTTTACTTTGCCTAAAATTGACTATATAAACTACAGAATACTTAAGATTTAGCCACAGCAACTACCCCAATTATTATACTACAGCATTCGGCACCCTGTAATAATTCGTTAAAGAAAATTTGCTGGAAAGCCGAGAACACAGTTTCAGTGTCAGGTAATTGATTTTGTTTGGAGCAATTGCTCCGTGTTTCCCTTGGGTAGTGTTAACTAATGAAGGTATTCAAAAAACAAAACACACTTCAATCCGTGTGCACACCCTGCTTGCAAGTTTATTAAATCAGAGAAAAAAGTCTTTTGACCTGCTCGTTTTGTATCAGGCTTACGCAGGATTATGAGGCCCCAACTCTAAGCTTTATATTCAAAGGTCAAAGTGACAGCAAGTGGTAAAATTAATTTGGTGGATTATCTTGTCAGTCTCGTCTTCTAAAATAATTTTGTTCCATGTAAGGAAAGCCGGGTTCCGGAATCCAAGACATTTGTTCTTGTGGAATCCAGAATCTGGGAAAATTTGCCTGTGGAATCTGGGATCCTGGGCTTTGGAATCCGAAATATAGTTCAAGGACTCCGGAATTCTTCTAAGGATTTGAATCCAGAATCCGAGTGTTACTAACTAAAGACTGGAATCCAGTACCTTGGAATCTGGAGTCCACGGCGTGGAATCCACAATTCATGACTGTCTTGGATTCCTTTAAATGGGGCGCCGAATATTCATTAGCAAAATTGCCAATGCTGAACAACGATTTTCATTCATCATCTACGACTTTATTCTTAGCAAGAGGATGCTCATCGCGCCAACTGTTGTCTGTTTCTGTGGAGTTGTGTAACTAATCAGCTTTTTGTTTCACCAGAAATGGGCGATATTCCCAGAACTTCAAGCAGTTACCATTTACACGAAGAAGACCAGAAGAGCCTGATAACAACAATAACAGCATCATAGACAACAATAATGAACAAGAAACAACGGTAGGGTGTTTTGAAATCCAAGAAATGTTCACCCTATACTGGATAGCTTTTGTGCTGCCACGAAAATCTTACGGGAAAGGGCTTCTGTTCGCACACAAGAATGGCGATTTCAGCGCGACTTCTGTGACGTATCGCCGCGCTAATTTCGAAAGTGGAGCGTCACAGATCCAATAAGATTTGGTGTAGTGTGACAACCTATTCGGACCGCTGATACCTAGCGCGGAATTGAACCGAAATCTCTCCTCTCGTCTCGAATTGTTCTCGCATCCGCTAGAACGCGCCAGGGTACGAGGAAGGTGTCAATATAGCCTTAGTGAAATATGGCATTAACAAAGCGAGAGAAATAATAAGCGTGCAATAAACACTTAGTGGTGACTAGATTCATGTGTCTGTTAGTTACTTATACTTAGTTTTCAACTTTCTGTCGTCCGTAATTGTTTTACGTATAGCTTATTCAAGCAGGTGGAGCACGTGTATTCAACCTCCGATAGTGCATCGATTTCCACTTCTTATTGTCATACCTAATACTTACATTCAGTAAGGAGAGTTACTCAATATTTCCAGTCTAAAGGGAGGCGCTTATTTGAAGCTGGGCACTATTGTAAGCATTACTGAAGGTAACTTCTTAACTCAATGGAAGCCTAAGGATACTTCAAAACACGAGCTTTAAACAGTAAAAAGAAAGGAGATAGGAAGTTGTTTCTCAAGGGTGTAATCCAGGTGGAACAATATAGTAAGTTGACAGAATTCAACCTTTTAAAGGTTGATTTCATTTCTACCAGAAGAGCTTCTCTCTTCATTATACAGTGGATTACTGATTGTTGTTACACTCTTAGGAGGCCTTAGTCTGCTACACAGCCGTTTTTAGTGTCGTCACGCAACGCTCCTCCGGGAGGGGCGTTGCGTGACGACACTAAAAACGGCTGTGTTGCAGACTAGGAAGGGCTAGGGTAACTGAAAAATAAATGATTATTAATATATCCTCTAAAAAAGCCTGTAAGAATAAATTTGATTTGCTACGTTTTTATGACCCTTCTACTGACTTTATTCTCCAGGCAGCTCGTCTTCAACTTCCTCGCGTTATAAAAGACGATGGCAAACGACTTACCCGTCGAATAAACAGTTATGAACCACCTCAGGTTCCCTTTCCTACTGTGCAAATAGCTGAGAAGTACAGGAAAGAGTTTCAGGAGTATAACGACAAGACACTTCATTTACCAACCCAGACTCAAAATGGATTAAAGAAGAAAGAATTTGTGGAAGACCAAGACATCAAAGTACCAGCCATAACGACACCCTTAGCAAATGAAATAGAGCTTGTGGGAGAGATCAACAACAATGCCAGTGAGAGCTGTGTGGAAGATTTAAAAAGACAAGTCGAGAGTAACACTCCAAGCTGCGAGGAAAAAAGTGATGGTAAGCTGTAGGTACAAGGCTAGGAAGTTAGGTATCAATAGAGTTACTGTATTTGCATGTCAGTCTTCAGATAACTGGTCCTTTGTAGACCAATTTCATGTTTTGTTTTTCTCTTTAACTTCTTTTATATTTCGAACGCCCCTCTTTTCTTCTGCAGTGCTATTGACGGTCTTTTTTGTGTCGTGGGCTCGGTCTTTCCACAGAATGCCTTCAGCCGAGTTATACGTGACTTTGTGCAAGAAACACCTTCGAACAACAAGAATAGCTACCGAAACTCGGATTCTAAAAGCCGTTCTCAGTAGAAATTTATCTTGGTAATTTTACTGTAGCTTAGAGTGTAATTAAGGAGGTGTCATGTACATTTAGAATCACGAAACGTCAGGTTGAACTCAGGAGACTCAGTGATACGAGTTCTCATAATTAGAAAATGAGCCGACAAAAAATGTCCAAATTTACTGCGCTTTTTAAAAACACGCGAATTCTGAAGTTTAAAAGCCAACTGACGATTCCGTTATTCGCTGCCGTCATCTAAACGGACCTCTTCGCAAACTGAAGTTTACTTCAATGGGTTCAAAAGGTCTATGGTTTGTGATTTGCGATTGTTGGATTTCGATCCGTTTTGCGTGTTTCTTTGTCTCAAGGTTCGCTAATTGTAATCGTAATTATGATTGACGGTAGCGAAAAACGAAATTGAGCCTTTTGAACTTCAGAGTTCGCGTGTTTTTGAAAAGCGTCGTAAACAGAACAAATAAATCTGGCACGAAACTACTTCTCTGCTGCCTCCCCCCTCGAGCTCAGACGCTTTTTTTTTCGCACAGAGGCAAGCGCGAAACCCAAGTATATAACTGTTCGCAAAGCGCTAGGGACCGCGGGAAGGAGAGGCGAATCACGTCTCGTCCGTTTTCTCCTTCCCGCCTTCGTTTGCCCGCATCGAGAGAGAAAGAGACGTCTGGGTAAGAGGCAGACTTTTCTATGAAGAAAATTGAAGGGAAACAAGGTCACGTGCTACAAACTGACGTTGGCGTAAACATGATTTTACATCTTATTTTTCACGGAGGAAATATATGTTTGTCACTGTTTGTCTGTATGGCTGGATGGTTTAGGCCACTAAATTAAAGAAAAGTCAGCGATCTATTTTTTGTTTGTTTGTTTTTTGCTGTAAAGACCAAACAAACAAAGAAATTCTCACAGGCAAGCGATACGCTGAACATCAAGGACAAGATAATCGAGTCACAGAGGAATCTAAGCCCCAAGAGCAAGATAGGTAGCTATGATTTTCGGACCTTTTATTTATGTTTATATTAATTTTGTTGATAAAAGTGACCGGATTAATCACTGAAGAATATTGAGGTTTATCTTGATAATATCTTATAGTTTTATTACGACGCAAAAATAATTTCTAAACGCCAATCGAAACACTGTTTAAGGACGGACTACTAAGGAATTCATCATTCCAAATCAATCAACACTGAATATCGATCCAAACAACACCCTCATAGTTTCTTCTGCTAATGTACGTGGCTTTAAAAGTCCTCTCTTTTTCTTAGAGATGAATATGTTGAGAGAGTGGAATTGTCGAAAGGCAGGGTTTAAAATTGCCTTGGCAGAAAGCAATCAGACTGTGACAAATGATAGCTAATAGTTAACATCTTCTCGTGTAAGATCCAAATAACGTTCAGGCTGACTGTACCTCCATTTACGTAACCTACAAATTCTAACAAGACTGAGCAACTTAGCCCCTGCGCTTTTCGCTAAAGATTGGTTCGCATCGCCATTTTTTTTTCAGCTGTATTTCAAACTAAAGTAGTGTTTTTTTCCTTTTGAAGACTTGCTTATGCGATCTTTGCATAAGGCTTTCGCAACGTATGTAACCTGTAACGCATCGTAATTTCTATATTTGATCTTATTTTAGCAGGCCTGTTTCAGGTAGATCCAATGGAATCCGTAAATTGGACATCCTGATGACCGAGTCAAGAGTTGAAAAGATGAAAACTGTATCGTCGTTATACGAGCAAGATAAGTTACATGCATGGGATAAAAATGAATCTGAGAGCGAACTAGAACCGCAGCAGGAAAGTACGTTAATCAATCTTCGGAAAGAATACTCTTGTAAGAAACCTTCTCAATCTTATGAAGACTGGCTTCAAATGAAGCAATCTCAAGAAAAAAACAGACCATCAACTGCGCCAACACAGAAAAGCAGGCTTGGAAAGAGTATTGATCCAGAGTCGTTCAAGAAATGGCTTAATAGTAAGCGACACCAACGGACTCACTCGAATTCTGAATCTTCTTCTTCTAATAAAAAGACTTTTATTAGTTCTGGGGGATTGACGTTTGAACGCTGGCTTGAAACAAAGTTATCAAACCGTCCCTTTAGTGCTGTAAATTACGTCACCGAGTCACGTGATTCAACATCAGGGGTGACCAATAAAGTTAGAAAACAAAATGTTTCTGGAAAACCATTTGAGGTTTGGTTAGCAGAAGAGAAAACATTGGAGCAATCTATTCATGGCGGAGAAAATCACAACGAACAAGACAAAAACAGTTCGAGAAGTGGCAAAACGTTCGAAGTGTGGTTAAAAGAAAAACACAGTCAAAAGCAGATTGAGCTGGTACAAAAGATAACTACAGAGAAAGAGGAGCAAAGACTGGCGGAAATAGATAGGTTACAGAAGTGGCTGAATCCACGTTACAAGACTTACGAGGACTGGCTGGCACTTAAGAACCATCAAGCTAGGTTTGAACGCTTGCGAACCCAGAGTGAGCCACAAAAACAACAAGAAGACATTTCCGAGGAGGAAAAACAAAAGGACGCCAAAGTTGTTTATGACATCTGGCAGACAATGAAGGCACTTCACGAGCTAAGCGACGAAGACAGGAAATATAAGGAAATGAAAGCAAAGTGGGCTGCGAAGCAACGCGCTAAAGAGCAGCTGAGAAGGCTTAATGTTATAAATAAGGCCAAGCAGTTTCACTTGCGATCTACATCAGCGCCGAAGAGTTGACGTTTGTCTCGAACGTTGGTGCGCAGGGGCTAGGGGAGACTCCATCTTGTTTTTTCGATCCCACCCTGCCATCAGTTCGGCAACCTCGTCCCCAGGGCGGTGGGGCGGGAAAAGGCCCTGGCATCGGCCGGCCAATCCATCATTTTGATTGGTTGATTGATTTAGGTAATCCATTTAAGAAAATGGCCAAATGAAAATAATTTATTCATTATACCGAGGTCAAAATCGCGGAAAGTATGTACACTGCAACGTAGATTTCTGCAAGAAATCCAGTTTGCAGGCTATGTCTAAGTTCTCATGAGAGTCGCTATATGCTTTGAATATTCAGGAAGGCCGGCTTATCTAAAGATCAGTATTCAAAAGTTTAGAAAATCTTTGGTATAAAAATTTTGAGGACGACACGAGGCCAGCAGTGTTATGTAGGAGTGGCGTTACATTCGTAGACAAAATGGATCAGTTTATTCGGAGAGCTCAATTTGTAAACAATACGCCGTCTGATCTAAGCTCAGAATATTCTGTAAAGCGATGCGTTCAACTTTCACCGTCTTCGCGTCAGCCGTCGAAGCGTCTATCAAAGGATATGCCACCCGAAAGCTTCGATGTGCATGAGCCATAAATAAAAGGGGGTGGAAGGCCTACACGACTTTTATTTTACGCCAAAATGCTGCTTGTTCCAATATTTTGTTTTTCATCTACTGGGTAGATTATGCTCTGGAAGGTTCTACATTTTCGCTGAGCAAATATGATTTTCTTTCTTGGGCCCATTATTTCCAAGCGCCTGCTACGCAGGCTAACCCCACCTCCAAAGCCAGGGAAAAGCGCCCTGGGGACGAGGTCGCTTTCTCGGCCTACTCGAGAAAGACTCCGCTCAGAGTAAATCGCGTCAGGCGCAGGTTGAACTACTGGGCTGAACTACTTTTCTCGTCAAACCGTATTTTCGAGTGCGAGCATCCGTATCAAGCGCACGGCTATTAGGCCTGGGTTCGAAAATTTAGCCTACCAACACGCGGCGCATGCTCATCAGAGATCTTATTCGATTCGTGCATCGATCAAGAAGAAAACAAAAGGAAGATTCTGCTTGCAGGGTGTTTCGACCCCTTCTTTGCTTAATGCAGCGTATCTGTAATGCTGGTATAAGTTTTATTATATTTGAAATGTACTCTAATTCTTTAATCCGAAATTTTTTGCATTGTCACTTTGTATATCGTCCAGACCTTCTTTCGTAACTTTTGTACAGCTCAGAAACAAGAGTCACTTTTTACAAATAAAGCTTATGACGATGATTTTGTTTTGATTGTCACTCCTTCTCAATAATCGTTGGTAGTAAAACTGTACCGACAAAAGCAAAATCTAAAAACGGTAAATTGAGAAATATTAAGTGACGTGTACTAACCAAACTTTAGTCATTTTGTGACTGCATTCGATTTAGTTAACATTTTTTGAAGCCGAAAATTATTTTGAATAAATAAAAAATTATTGGATTTGCCTTTCGTATAATATGAAGAATTCTGCTGAACTCGTCTAATACCTACTACTTATCCGGCTAAGCTTTTTTTTTTAGCGAGTGCCATTAGTCTCATTTTCTTTTTTTCCTGGATATTAGATAAAGCCCTCAGCAGCGATGTAAAGCACGATAGAACCCAGCAGAGGCTCTCTATTGACGATAAAACAGATAATAATTTTTCGATTTTAATCTTTTGGTGAATTAATTAACTCGTTGGAAGATTTTTATCGTCACAGCCTTCAGGTCTTGCAGTTCTCATTGCTTTTTGCCCGTTACACAGCATTCTAATCCATAGTAAGCCCCTTACAGTCTTAGCTATCGATATAGGAAGGGTTCGATCCCGTTTGTTGTTTTACACGTTCAAAGTAGTGATCATGAATGGTTGTTTTTCTTATAGACATTGTGGGGGTGGATAGTGAGGCACGGAACCGAAAAGGGAAATTCTAAATGGACGGGAGGCCTGAGAAAATGTGGGGGAATTACGCAAAAATGCTTAATAATCGCAATCGAAAAAGGGTTTTTAAAAGGGACAAAGCCAGGACAATGGGAGGAGGGAGCCGGATATGCAAGATACAAGGGGCGGGAGGTTTCCCCTCCTGTTCCCCTCTCCCTACCAAAGAGTCCGGCCTGCCTGAATATTTTAATTTTCACTGAGCTGTGTTTATAAATGATTTTCACTCTCACGTTTGCGTTGTTGCGTGACAAGTTGCATGTTTTTTGTTGCCCGTGTTTTTCCGTAGCTTAAAAGAAACGAAAAGAGCCTAATATACCTGAGTAAATAGACGTGAATGAATAAAGAAATAATCAGAAATAAAAATAAGGCTATAACTTGAATGTGAACTTTTATCAATGTTAACTGCAAGATGAATTAAAATGAATAGATGAGCAGCAACAGCGAGATTAAGCATATGCTCCTTAACCAAGCCTACTTATAACTTAATCGGCCAAACAAATAGGGGAAGTTGACCTAGAAACGTTTGTTTAGAACACGTAGAAACTGCCTTTGGTAATGTGAATTGTCCGTAACATCGCAAACAGCCTTTTTCCTGAGTTTGTGACCCATGATAGAAACGTTTGTTACTTCACCCAAGCCAAGTTTTCGTCGACTTGCTCCCATTCCGTAATATCTTTTCCTTGTTTCCTCCACAGAGGCCTGTTCATGATCATCGGTTTCTTTTCCCTGCACGTATCCTTGAATTGCGCCTCCATAAAAAATAAACTGGCTCCGTATTTTGGGTTCTGTCAGGCTTTTATTATCAGACAGGAATAGAATACTTCTATGCGTGTGGACGTCCTTCTCGGGGTTATTTCCATCTTTTTGATTAAATGTACGTAACATTGGCTGGCGTCGGAAAATGGAGCTATTTTTCGCCAAAAGCATTGCATCTTCTCCAACCTTATGAGGGTAATTATTTTCTTCCGCTTCGAGAGCTAGATTGTAGCTAAAGTGAAAAATCCCCCTATCATCTTGTTTCGACATCGTCCTTGAATTGTAGGTGATGCTGATCAATCGTTTCATCAGCTAACGATACTCTGAAGAAATATTCGCCGTATCTTGATAATAGACCGGCAATATTCAGGTAAAGAGGTCCTTTAAAAATGATAAATTTAGTATCGAGGACGTAAAGACTCTGGCCTTTGTTTTGGACGTACGTCATAATTAACAAACAAACGCGGATAACGTATTTCCCACGCACGACTCCGCTTATCACCTGGCATGGAAATTAATGTTTTCTTTTTTAAATGATTCTTTTCGCGTACTCGCTAGAATGACTGACTAAATGTATTTATTACTGCTCGAATAAAATGTGTCAGATATTGATTTATTATATTTCGTTATTAATTCAAATTTTTTGGTTTTGTTAGTATTTTTTTTCCATGTGAACGGGGAAGAGAGGAAATTAATTCATAAGAAGCATACAGCTGAAGCATGAACGACACGCTATAATCAAACTAATCTTAAAAAAGGCTTACCGCCCATGACGAATGATTCTAGATTTGCATGCATACGATATCAGAACTGTGTAATCGATTTCAAACCGGCAAACATATATATTGTGTATCTGGGTCTCTATTTTATTTGGTTTTATTCTTTTTTTTAAATGATATTTTTATCAGAATTTGTGAAGAGCTCTCACCATGTGTAAAAAAATCTATCAAGTATATAGAAATCAACAACCCAACTTCATAAAGTAAAGTCTTTTTTCTTAATTAATTGGTCGCCTATAGCAGTTACGTATGAAAATATCTCACATAAGTACTTTAATTAGTTATTTTTTTGGAAAGCATACAGTTCAATTTTACCAACGAATTTGTAATCGTCAATAAATTACTATCATGCTCATAGAGCTCCATAACATTGCTATCAAAAAAATATTTACATAGATATTAAAATATTTCCTTCCTTTACACAGGGCCTCCATACAAACTCTGGGACTGTTCATCCATTTAAAATGGCGAGCAAATTTGAAACCCCTTTAATAAGGTTACCAATGGACCCCCCCCCCCCAAAACAAAACAAAACAAAACAAAACAAAACAAAACAAAACAAACAAACAAACAAACAACAAACAAACAAACAAAAAACAAAGGTATGTTGTTATTCCTGGGGAGGGATGGGGAGAGCTTGGCGACGGGGCTCCAGTGCGCCAGCTGTCTCGTCGTCACGCCATAAAAAGAGCCATAATGACATTATTGCTCTTGGTCAAAAGCGAGCCTGTTCGCGAGCCATGAACTACTTGTACACCAGCCGTTGAAAGTATGAGACGTAAGCAGTGCCTGCCAAGGATACTAAGGTCCGGATTTTCTAAATAATACGATGAGCTGCAATAAACTGATTGCCGGTAGATAAAAAATAAAATAAAATAAAATAAAATAGATAACAACAACAACAACCAGAATAATAAATGACAAACAAACAAACACATACATACATATACACATTTTTTTTATTGTGTTTTGAGGTAAAAGTACAATTATAACATGCCCGCGGGTAGCTAAGCTATTCTAGGCGGGTCATGTTTACAGGAAATAAATACAACTAAATACAACTAAAAGTAACAAGAGAACTCAAGAAACTAAAATTGACAACAATGACTAGAGATTACTGATAAACTAACGGTATTACTAATAATAAATGACAACAGTTATGACAAGAGACTACTGATACACTAAACGATATTAATGATTACATACTAACTAAGAGGATTCAACTTAACTTTTTGAACGATTTCTGGGAGATCAATATAACGGTCTTCTGAAGCTAGGATCTCAGAAAGTGTTTGTTTTATTTTCGTCTTAAAGGCATTATTTGAAAGAAGGCATTTCATTCCATATTTTTGTTCCGATTCTAGAAAATGAATTCACTTGAATTGAGAGTCTGGAACTTTGTGTGTAAAATTTATTAGAGGCAGAAATACCGTAAAATTCCGAAAATAAGCCCTTCCATGTATAAGCCCCTCCAAATATAAGCGCCCCCCCCCCCCCCCCCCAAAAC